GTAGCACAATTGGTATTGAAAGTAAAACTTTTGTACAATATTGACCAATAGTAAAAGACTTTTTACTTTGACTTGTGCTAGACATATCAAATCAAGGCAACGTTTGCACTTTGCACGAACGAATTGAAGGTGAAAATTATTTTTTAATTCGAAACTACTCCTTATTATCTAAAGCCCAAAAAGACCGAGTCGTCGAAATTGAATCATTAGTTTTATATTGCCGTTGAAAGATTCTGATGTAAAACGGCACAGTTATTTAAATAAGATATTTCAAGTGTATTTTGAGAAATAATTTTAATAGGTATGTAATATAATGGGATTATTATTGATAATTGTGATGTTATAAATGTATTATTTAATGATTACATTGTCATTTAAGATTGTTAATTGTTTCCTAAAATAAAAATGAGAACCTTTATATGGAACATCCAAAGACAGAAAGTGGAAATCTTTCTACGGGACGAAGGGAGTACTCATTTGACCACACTTTTGAAATAGAGATTAAAAAGGGCCAGAGCAATTAAAAATTTGTTAGTAAAATAAAGGGTGTTTATAAATATGTGACATCTTAGGTATAGTGACTATTGTAGTACTTTAGTCGTAATGACTAAACTCATTAAAATGTTAATTTATTAAAAATTATATTATAAACAAGATAGATTTTGAACAACAAAAGGGTAAAATTGATATAAACTTAACGTAATGTTCAGACACCTTCTAAACTTTATCCTAATAAGACTACATGTGAAATAAATATATGGGTTAATTAAACTTTGATGGTTCCGTGGATCACAGCAATGGACCAAGAACGAATTAAAGGAAGCCAATCAACGGGACAACCCATTAATCGGGATTAAAAATTAATAATAGCGTTGGGTCTAATTACGAATCTGACCCGCGAAAGGAACCCACAACCAGACCGGTCTGGACAACAGACCTCGAGCCTGTGTGGGATCCTAACGAGATCGGACTCATCCTAGGGCTTATCTGGCGGGCTATCATTTGAGCATAGCTATTTGGCAGTGGCAGGGAATAACAGAAGAGACGTGGATCTAGAGGAACAATGATTGCACAACATTCGAGACGTTACATGACTCTTGTTATGATTAAATGCATTAAATGTATCAATTTCCTCTTAGAATACTAGAACCTAAGGTCTATAAATACTTCCTGTACACACCCTAAATGGGATCCGCATTCTGAAATAATAATATTGTCTTACGCTGCCTAAATTTTTTCTGCTCTCGTAGATTAAGCTCTCGTAGTTGGAATTAAACTCCGTCAAACTTCATGTCAAAATGGGTTGAAATGGTCATACCTATTCTAAATTATATTAAACCAAATCAGATCATAATAAAGTAACTAAGATCAATGTTCTAAAACTCGCTAAGTGCTAGTCGGGCGGCAGAGGGCCGCCTAGCGCCTAAGCCGACTATTAAGCAACTAATCGACGACTAATCGGCTACTATGGAGCATGGATTTTTTTGCCTCAATTCAGTCATTCACCCATGTTTACCCATGTATGCAATAAAAAATTACAAGCTTCATGGAATATTATAAAAACCAGCTTCCATAATTAATGATTTAATGACATAAAACATGGGAGCTTCTGTTAAACAACTCAATAAGCAACGATCGTAGCAAGTTTAACAATAAATTACCATCCCAAATAACATACATAAACGGCAAAAACTTTAAAAGTTCAATTAACTAAGCAAGGATTCAGAATGCAAACAGAAATTTAGAACAAGTTAAGAGGAAACACAATTCCTTAATAGTTTAATAGGAAGTACAAAATCTGCTTCAAATACTTTAAAGTTATGCCATATCTTCTTCTCCATTGGACAGAAAATCAATGTCCAGATTTATTTCCTATCAATCGGATACAAAGTCATCATCATATATTTCTCTCACTAAAAAATTTTCCCTCATGGTTGTGGTATTTCATTTCCTTGAGATGCTTCTTCAACAACATAGACAATATCTTCATCATTTTCACTCTCACTACAAAACATCCTTGTGCATTCCTATCATCCTTGCTAGCAAATCAATATAATCTCCATGTCCTTTTTCCCTTTTTAAGTAACTTTGCATGGAATTGGACATACACCAAACTGTTAAGACGATTGACGTCTAGCCTATTCCTTTTCTTCGTATGAATCTAGTCATGTAAATAGAAAACATTGTCAAACAAGTGCTGAAATGAATAAAAGTAGGGATATTTTAAGACTAAAAATTAAATCAAACCTCAAAAGTGAAGTCTACAAATGCTGAAATGAACAAAAGTACTTCGAGAATTAACTCATTCAAAAGTGCTCAAGTTTTGCTCCAACTGGATGAACTACTTGTCAAACAGAGAATCTGTATAGATCTTACTTACTCCCTGCGTCCCTGAAACAAGTTCACCCTTTCCTTTTTGGGTAGTCCCTGAATCAAGTTCACCTTTCCATATTTGGCAAATTATCTATATCAAAACAGTACCAAACAGTGTCAAGCAGTGTCCAAAAAGTGTCCAAACAGTAAAATTTACCCCCAGTAAATTTCTTTCCTTAATATGTGAAAAGCAATGGTGAACTTATTTCGGGGACGGAGGGAGTATATAATTGGGAAAAGTGTCAAATAAGTCGATATACTTTTATCACAAAAGTCAATTAAGTTCATATATTTTTAAGGTCAATCAAGTCTACAAACAGTCAAAAATCAATCAAATTGGCTTTTTGATTGTCCACCAATTTTTTATAACCTTTTCTATTTTCTTGGGTTTTCTTTTCTTTCTTAGTATGTTTCTTCTTTTCTTCTCCTTCTTTTTGCTTTCCCGTGTACCTTTCTCGTTCCAAGCTTCAATCTCCAACACTTTAACCGGCCACCAACTCATCCCTCCCCCGCCTCCTTTCATCTCTTTATTTCTTCTTCCATCCACCTGTTTCGAGTAAACTTATCATCCCCTCATTCTTTCTTCTTTCTTGTTCCACCCATCCCTCATTTCTCTACCCCCCTTTGTTTATTCTTCCATTCGAAATTTCGACTTTTAATGTCAAGCGTGTTTAATTGGAGTGGCTTGAATGGCTCCTGGCGAAGCCGAAGCCGGACGCGGAAGGGAGGCGACAAGTTATTGCAGTGGCTTGGATGCCGCTTAAACGTCGCCGACAAAGAGGAAGCTGGGCGCTCGAGCCACAACGTGGGGTAAATTCAGATCCAAAAACCCATACCAAAGACAAAGAAGAAAGAAAGATAAAAAGGGAATTGAGATGAGAAGGTGGTGGACATGCAGGTTGGGCACTTGGGCATTTGCAATGGACCACAAATAAGTTAGAAATGGGGGAGGAAGAAGGAAAGAGAAAAGGGAAGAACGAAAGCGATAAAAAGAAAAGGAACATACAAAAAATTGTTGTGAACAGTAAAAAAAGCATTGTTGGACGATCCACGTAAGTGATTCAACTTGAAACCAGTTGATTACCTATGAAAGATCTAATTTGATTGTTTTTTAGCAGTTCATGGACTTAATTCATTCATTTAAAAGTATATGGACTCAATTGACTTGCTGATAATAGTAGATGGACTTTGACAATATTCCTATATAATTTGTACTTCTTATTTAATGTTCAGTGAACCTTAATTAACTCCAGCAGAACATAATAATTATACAACAATTGTTTTTATAAAAACAGACCCTTATAAAAGTTAGAACCACATGTACCATATCAAAATATTTAAAAATATAAATGCCGGGTCAGTTATGGAATTAGATATTGACCTATATCCATTTACAAGCGGATGTGATTAGATGCTTTTAGTCTAAGAGCCCGTTTGGTAGCATCACAATCGGTTGTTTTGTCTGATTCTGCTGAAATTTATGAAGTTCTGGCTGAAGTGGCTGCATTGGCTGATTCTGCTGATTTAAGAAAAAATATTTTAAAAATATATTTTATTAATAAAACAAAGAAAAAATTATATGTAATTAATAGCTAAAATAGTCATCTACAGTAACTTCAGCCAATACAGCCAGAAAAGTAACTCCAACCTTACTTTTTCTGCTTATTACACAATTCAGCGCGCGTAAGTAAAAATTACGTGTTTGGAGAAAAAGTTGGCTAATAAGCCTGATAAGACGAAAAACAATGTTGTCAAACGACCAATAAATATGGTTTATTTTAGTTTTAAGTTTGAAATACTCATTTTTTGAGTAACTGTTGAATCAAAACCTCATAACTATATAAAGAAGGATTCAAGTGAAAATTCTTCTTTAAATATAACTTTTTATTTAAACTTTACCTTTTATTCAATCATTAGTTATGATGCACATGCAGACCTTTGTATAATTATTCAAAATTAAAACCAGTTCATTTTTGTAATTACTTTAAAATTATAACAAAAATGATACTTTATTGGTTCTAACTTTTAATTTAAAACACCAAAGGTGGAGTTTAAAATTTTGCATTTATAAATGAATTCTCATTATAACCTTCTCCTAAGCATATCTTTATACATAGACACATTTGTGTTATATGTATTTCATCTGTCCTATTGGATATTACACACTTTAAATTATGTGAGATATAAAGACACCGTAAAAACATGTAGCTAAAATTCGTGCAAATAAAAAAAGAATGAGCAGAGGCATGAACCACTTATTTTAATTGTAAAGTGACAAAAAAAATTAGATAAAAAAAGGGGAAAATCGTAATTTTGGTCATCAATTAGTAATCATATTGAAGTATCATACCCATGTTTCTAAGATTGTAAATATCATTCCCATTTGACAGATGCGTTGTAAATTTCATCTCCGCCGTTCTATCTTCAATTTTGGACTACTAATAAACTCATCTCGGATAACATTTACAACACATTTATCAGTTTAGTGGTAACATTTACAGAAATACTACTATCACAATTCAATAGTGATTCTCCATTATAAAAAAGAAACGTTTGGCAAAACTGAATAGGATAGAGGTAGTACTCATATACTCCGTAATTTTTTTGTACTCTTGCTCGGTGCATGTTGTCTCTCGTGCCCCTCGTCGTCTTTCGTTTTCAGAAGACGTTACATAATTCCTCTTTTTCCCTTCCTTTTTTAGATCGGCCTCACAGGCTTAGACTGAGCATTCAAACCTCACACCCCCACAGTCTCTGTCTCAGACAAAAACCGTTGCATCGCCGGAAGAGAACAATCTGAAAGCCCAGAATTGGGTTTTCTATTGATTTCTTCCTCTTCGTTCCTTTTCCGAAGAGACCATGAGTTCGAAAGCGTCAGAGAGCTGGAATGCTTTTCGCTTTTCTCCGCCGTCGGGCTCCCGCCGTCCTCCTCCCGGATCGGTGCTGCGCTCAGGCGAACAGGATGCCGGCAGGAACGTCGGGAAGCCCTGCTTCCGTCCGGCCAAGTTTTGCTCCAGAGGCCATTGGAGGGCTGAAGAGGATATCAAGCTGAAAGAGCTCGTCGCCAAGGACGGTCCCCAGAATTGGAATCTGATCGCAGAGAAGATTCCGGGCAGATCAGGTTAATTACTTCATTGATGCATTGATTGATTAATTAGTTTCTTCAGCGAATGATTGATTAAACTAATGTTGGAAATGAAATTTGTTTGAGTGAAGCAGGGAAAAGCTGCAGATTGAGGTGGTTCAACCAGCTTGACCCGAAGATTAACCGGCAACCGTTCACGGAGGAGGAAGAGGAGAGGCTGCTGGCGGCGCACCGCATGTACGGCAACAAATGGGCGATCATCGCCCGGCTCTTCCCCGGCAGGACGGACAACGCCGTCAAGAACCACTGGCATGTCATCCTCGCCCGCCACCGGAGGAACCAGGTTCCCGGTTCCGTCCCGACGCAGCCAGGAAACGCCGAATCGGCGGCGTCCACTTGCACCGATCTCTCCCTCTCCGGCAGTTCCTCCTCTTCGTCAAAAACCCATCCTGAATCCCACCCAACTCCCATTCCTCAACGTCAAATCGTTCACGCAAATCCAGGGCTAGCTTTGGACGGTGGGAAATCGGAGACAAGAAGTCGGCCGCCGTCACCGCCGAACTCTTTATCTGTCTCAGTGGCTCATAATAACGACGCCGTTTCTGGTAGTGATGCAGAAAATTGTCTCCAGAAGAAGACTGCGATTTATGACAATCAGTTTAACAAAATGCCCTGCTACTTTGATTTTCTAGGTGTCGGAGCCGACTGAGTCAGCAGGGGTAAAATGGGGATTGTAGTTTTTATTTTACATTTTTACTTTTTAGTTTTTACCTTTGGGGTTGGTTGGTTTGAGTTGAAATTAGGATGAGGAAGAAAGTGGGCGGCTGATAAGGCTAGACCCAACAACTTAATTACTGTAGGGAAAACAGAAAGGTGGGTTTTGGTTGGTTGTAACCGGAAGGTCATGATTAAGGTAAAAATGGGTTGGATTATCTGCATCTTAGTTCTTTATTTGGAATAATCCCCATTAATAACCACCATCTTAATCCATCCATGAAATTATTAATAGTGTCAAATGTCAATTAAATGTGACTAGTTTAAGTGCACTTTAAAGATCTTGTATTTTTCTTTATTGGTCTATCTATCATTTAGATTTCTCTATTTTATAAACATTAATTAACTTCAGTTTGTAATAGTGTAGGATTTCATCCTTTTCATGTAAAGAAACAAATTAAAATACGGAATATAGTTTTGCTTTTGTTTCGTTATAGTTGTTCCTTTACTATTATTTTAAACAAATGTTGGAATTATATTTGGATGATTTATCAACTTAATTTACGCATTAACATCACAATCTTAGCAATTCTGAATATTTCAATCTAATTATGTACGTAGTATTTATCTTGGTCGTATATAGAAATATTAATTATTAAACGTAATTATCTCTATAATCTACCGAGCATAGAGCATATGATTATATGAGATAATGTTAGGTAGTGTTACAATTTGAATTTCTGCTAGTTTCAATTGATATTTGATAGGTTCTACGTACGATATATTCCTAAAAATAATGTGCAACTTTACGTTACAAAATCGTCGTTATCAAACTCACACTAAACTAAAATTCCGTTTCATAACAGAGAAATGATCTTCAATTACTATACGGAGTACAATTTAGCGCAAAATAAAAATGGAAAAGTTATGTCTTAGGTAATTCAACCATTTCATAAGTAATTCAACCATTTCATAAGTAAGTCATAGTCGGTTCAACTTGATCTCGTCAACTTTTTAGATTGTCTAAATCCATACTCCATATTTGTTATGGGGATGATGCACATTAAATTTATGCTTTCAAATCGGGTTGTTTTGGATTTCTAGCCGGATTTCAAATGGTGTCAACGGCATGGTTGGGGTCTTGCTAGATTATTGTATCTTACTTTAATTCCTTGATCCAAAAGGTGGAATCTCCCCACCTTAGAAGCTCCCACACCCCGAGTCGACAGGATGATCAAAGAGTAAGACATATATCCGTGCGCACCAGAATATGTTGCTGCGTGCTTTAAATCCTAAAAAGCTTTGAACGTACGTACTTTATATATGTTCACAAAAGTTTGTATGAAATTTATAAGAATAAGTTCATTTTATCGGTCTATCCAATTATCCACCTGCTTATATAAACTAAGATATATGAAATGTTTGGTAAATGGTTGTTAAATGGTGTTTCAGTCGAACTATGACGGTTTGAGTGTTTGACCACTTTTAGGGTCTTCAATAAGTGAAAAAGTTGTTTGATAATTAGTTGTTCGGCACAATGTTTTTGGAATGAAACGATGCAAATATGAGAGTTTTGGGTTAGCATATTGAAATATGATGTTTTCCATTAATTTTACGGCCAAACAACTAAATTACCAAATATCTTCTGACATAATTAATTCTCTACTCGCTAACCTTTATCCGCTAAATGCCAAACACGTCCAAAATCATGTGTGTTTACTAGATTTATTCTGCTAATCAAACGGCCCGCTGACTAAATCTGTTGTCTCATCATTATGTTAATGACATTTTTGGTACACACCTTTGATTTTTTTCGAGTTTTAGCCTTTCAACTATTATTTGAGAGACACTTATAAACTCATTATTTGAAATTTTTAATATTTAGTACTTCGCCATTCATAAAACGTGACACTTTTGGCCCTTCAGTTGTTATCTTATTGACATTTTTACACACCCACTTATTGTGTCAAAATTTTCTTAGGATTAAAAAGGTCAACTTTATAAAACTCAAGGACTAAATTGTCATAAATTTCAAAGTCAAGAACTAAAAAAATTTCTCTCACAATATTCGGAGTTAAAGTGAAAAATATCATAGTCGAGTGATAAAACTGTTAATGACACTAGTCGGAAGACTAAAAGTATGAGGATAATTTTTGAATGGAGTAAATACATTATACTTATCAAACCTTTATATAGTACTCATTTGTCGCAAAATTGTAATTTCTGTTTGGTGATGGTTGGTGATTAAAGTAGATTTTTCCCACCTCATACAAATTTTGTATTCTTATTTTACGTACTTCTTTTGTCAAATTTAATCAATACAGAAAATATCAAAGATAAAAGGGAAAAATGTCAAATACGTCCCCGAACTTTCATAAAAAAGTCAATTAAGTCCTTCTATAGGAGACTTTGTCCGGTCGTCGCGATTTGGGGCGGTTCCCGGTGGAATTTTTTGATGAAATTTTTTGAGCATCTTATTCATCAAGTCTAGTTTACTCATACCAAATTTCAGCTAAAAATTTAATCGGGAGCGCATTCAAATTAATTCGAGAACGCAAAAATGCGCAGTTATCTTCAAGAATTAATTTGAATGTGTCCTCGATTGATTTTTTAGCTAAAATTTGGTATGAGTAAACTAGACTTGGTGAATAAGGTGCTCAAAAAATTTCATCAAAAAATTCCACCGGGAACTGCCCCAAATCGCGACGACCGGACAGAACCTCCTATAGAAGGACTTAATTGACCTTTTTATGAAAGTTCGAGGACCTATTTGACAGTTTTCCCAAGATAAAACTATGTGATTTAGATTTGTACGAGTATATAAGAAAAAGAAATAACAAGAACCATAAATGAATGGGAAAAGGAGCAAATAAGCCCTCGAACTAATAAAAAAAGTGCAAATAGGCCCTTTTGTAGGAGGTTCTGTCCGATCATCGTCATTTGGGGAGGTTCTCGGTGGAATTTTTTGATGAATTTTTTTGAGCATCTTCTTCATTAAGTCTAGTTTAGCCATACCGAATGTCATCTAAAAATTCAACCAGGAAGGCACTCAAATGATTTTCGGAAATATACTGCGTTGTTTAACTGCGCAATTATCTTCAAAAATTCATTTGACTGTCTTCCCGGTTGAATTTTTAGCTGAAATTCAGTAGGACTAAACTAGACTTAATGAATAAGATGCTCAAAAATTTTCATCAAAAAGTTCCACCGTGAACCTCCCCAAATGACGATGACCGGACGGAACCTCCTACAAAAGGACTTATTTGCACTTTTTTTATTAGTTCTAGGGCCTATTTACCCCTTTTCCCTAAATGAATTGATCAAAGTAGTAACGGAATTTTGTCCAAACATTTTAGAAAAAAATGACAAAATAACAAAGGACTGAAAGAATATAATTTATGTTTCCCTAAATTTTTTAAGATTAAAAGAGTAGCAAGTGAGTATATTTTAAAAATAAACCGAGGCATAAGTCATCAAAGCTCATTATGTTTCAACTTTTAACTTGTCTTATAACAATAATGTTACAGTAGATGGAATTGACACCTACTAGATTGATCAATCGGTCACATTTTTTTAATGCGTGGCACACAAAAGAAAATTGTAGCCTTTGTTGAAAACAAGTAAAAGGCATCAAATCCACAACTATCTTTGCCCACCAAGAACATCCTTCTAGGCGGAATGTGACCCACCTTTTTAACCAACCATGGGAGGTCAAGAAAGATTGAGTTAAAAATGATTAGTACGAGTATTTGTTAAGCCATTTCATACTAATCGTAATCATATAAGGAAATGTATACTCCGTATATAAAAAGAATCACGGACTATTAAGGACGAAGTGTTTGATAAAACTAAAAAAAAGTGTTTTTGAGATTTAGGCTTTAAAAAATTGAAAATAATATTTCAAATGACAGCTTCTGCTTAAATTAATCACTTAAAAGTTAAAAGTTGGAAGCAGGTAGAAGAGTACTTTATACTGCTCTTCACTCTTTCTATTACACAAAAAACTTATTTTATTTAACACTATCAATTTTTACTTTTTTAGAATCCTTTTTTCTGTAACACTACCCAACTTTTACTATTAAGTACTTTATCTAAAATCACTTTTTTCAAGTTAAAGCAATCGCAAATACCGTACTCTCTAAGATTGAGTTTTAGAATGAAACACAAAAGCGTCAAATCAACATATTTTAGACTACTTATCATTGTATTTTACTTTCTCAACGTGTTAAACACTTAAACTTTATCAATTTTCCTACTTTATCTGTTTAAATAATTTTTTCATTTTTCTATTAAAATAATGAATTTGTGATTCAGTTTATTTTTCTCTTTTGCACAATTATGAACTAGATATTTTTAACTTTTCTTATTTGATACATACTACAAAGTTGATTAAGTCTAATAAAACATTTGGTACGTTTCTTTTGCCACAATCCCCTACTAGGGATGTTTTCTTTTGGACTGAAATTTGCTGGTATGGTCTGGTCTGTTTAAGTCCGGTCTAGTATGTTTAAGTCTGGTCTGGTCTGGTAAACGTCTAGTCTCTGTGTATTTTATAACTGCGGAAGTCTGGTCTGGTCTGGGACTGAAAACTGTCCAAAAGAAAACATCCTAGGTCAATCAGTTCATGCAATTTGAGTCAATGATTGATTTTTAACCAAGTCGATCTTCTTAGTTTGTGTAAGAAATCATGTCCAATGTATATATACTAAATGCCATTTTAGTGTTTTACCATATTTGCTCGTTAATGGTTACAATTTTAATTCTTCATTATATAATTTAATACGGCGTAACAAGCTGGAACAGAGAATGATAAAACCGACACAAGAATACAAGTGTGCAATCATTGGTTTGTTTTTGGAGAAGTCGGCATTCGACAGTGATAAACTAAAGTTGTTAAAATCTACTAATAAAGGGATTAAAGAATACTCTTAAGTCTTAACTTGAAATTTCCAAATTTGTCGCCACATCTCTCAATCACTTTTCAATGCATTGCCTAAATAGTGTATTAGTGTAGACTGTGTAGTATACCACTTCGTAATCGGTCTATTACATGCATTTATTAAGCAGGTATGAGATAATTTTAATCATATCGCAATATCTTTTCGTTTAATTTTAGAAACTGATTCGCTAAATTCGTAGCGGTTGTTTGATGTTTTCTTTTGGACTGTTTTCAGTTTCTGACCAGACTAGATCAAACCAAACCAGACTTGACTTTCATAGTTATAAAATACACAGAAACAGGGCCGGCCCAGGCCAGGTGCAGGCTGTGCAATGGCACAGGGCCCATGAAAATTGAAGGCCCAAAAAAAATTAGCAGTAATATATTATGTATAGTAAATGCGAGTAAACAACAAATACTTCACGTTGGCAGAGCGTTAACCAAGAGAGAATGTCCGTTAAAGTGCTTCTAAGAGGTCTTGTGTTCGAGACTTGGTGC